AAAAAAAAAAAAAAGATTGCCCAGCTGGTTAACGACTAATAACCGAATGGGCAAAGTAGTGACGACAACGCGTTGACGTCAGGACGCACACAAATATTGTTTCACCCCCACACGTGATGTGCATGCCCCCCCCTCTCCCCTTTTTGCAACTTCCCCAGGACGAAATACTCAACAAGAATATAAATTGGAAGAGCAAAGAATTCTCCTCCCTTTCCGTCGAGGTTTGTCATGGAGCGAGGGACGCGGAAAGAAAAATAAATAAAACGTGCATGTAAGCGTTTTGTATCGTTTTGTTATTTTATTTTTTTTTTTTTTTCTCCCTTTGAAGGCTGTGGATTTTTTAAAAAAGCTGTTGGAGAGAAATGAAAAGAAAAGACTCACGGCATATCAAGGTTAGTCAACGGAACGCAGATTGGCGACGCAGAAAAGTTGCGCGTTTAAAATTAAGTAGACAACCACCTGCGTAACTAATTCGTCGCTCTCCGATCTGCTAAAATTGCGCCTCCCCTCTTTTCCTGCAGCGCTGAACCACCCGTGGATCAAGCCCCCAGTGGAGTAACCCACCTTTGACAAGCATCGTTGTGTGTGTTTTTTTTTTTTTTTTTTTTGGGCTTTTTTCCCCCCCCTTGTTTTGTCTCCGCTACTAGCGGTTTTGCACCTACCCCTACGTGTATTTTGTGCGTCTCGTGATTAACAATTTGTAGCAGAAGCGTACGCGCGAGGGGGACGACTCATTTTTGTTCCCCGTCCGGTTTCCCATTTGGTTGCCTATTTGTTTCACCAGTTTGTGGCTTCATTTTGTTTGTTGGCTAGCTTAGCTTTTTTTTTTTTTTTTTTTTTTTTTGGACTCTTTCATAATTGAAGAAGTTTACAAAATGTCTTCCTCCCCCAAAGAGGTTGTGTCCATCGGTATGTGTCTTAATGCAGGTTTAGGGACACACATAAACAAATAGAATAAATATGCCTCTCCCCCCTCAGAAGCTTTTTTCGCACACCAATGTAGAATATCCATTGCATCGTTACAGGCGGGAAAGTACCCCATACCATTTAGCTAGTAAAATTAATCAGAAAAAAAAAAAAAAATTAAGATTTAATTTAAAAAAAAAAAAAAAAAAAAAAAAAAGTTCTTTTATAACAATATGACTTTTACACCTTGGAAGGGGAGGAGAAAAAGTAAGAAAAAAAACAGGAATTTTTTTTTTCCCTTTTCATTTTATGACTTGTGTTCCCCCCGCAGGTGATAAAAATATGCATACAATAAAAAATGCGCCTCCAGGGCCATTACAACATTTTTACATGGAACCGATTTGGTACTTCGAGGTGAGGGACGCGGTAAAATGGGGGACACATGAGAATGGGGTATAAGCAGCCCCCCGTCGTTGTCTCATCTGTTCGTACTTTTTCGCGGCCACTTCCATACCGCTTCCCTCCCCAAAGGGTTGGCTGGCTGGCTGATTGGCTGACTGACTGGCTCACTTGACAAAAATGTTGTTCCTCTTGCTCCTGAACTGCGCCACGCCCACCGTCGTGACGGTCGCCGAAGAGCCTCGGAAGAAGGAGTTCCTGTAGCGGTCTTCCTTTCCCTTGGACTGGTCTACAGGTGCGGCGCCTCCGAAGCCGCTAAACTTCCTGCTGTTCCTCTTGGCAGCCTCGGGCGTTTTCCTTTTCTCTTTAAAATTTTCAATGCTCAATTTAATACCGTTGCAGTAGAGCCCCAGGTCTAAAAGGAGTTTCTGGCTCTGCCTGCAGTCCAGCTCAGCGATGGCGTAAGAATAGCTTTCAGGAGTTTTCCCCTTTTCATAGCTCACAGAATTGAAGGAACTTGGAAATACCTTTTTAGCTGACCTCTGGTATATATCGATTTGCACAGCATGTCCGTCGTTATAATTTTTCAGTCGGTCAATTATACAATCATTAATTTTTTTTTTATCCATATTTTTATGTATGTTATGAATTATAATTTTTTTATCATTTGCGTTTATTTCATGTTCTTCCGTTTCTTCCTCTTGGGTTTCCACATCAGTTTCTCCTTCCTCAGTGTGCTTCTCCTCCTCTACATGCTTTATCCCTTCATCATGCTTCATTCCCTCTTGCACCTTGTGACTTGCAGTGGCGGGAGTTTGATTTTCGCCCGAATTGGTCCCAGTGTTACTTTTCATCACTCGGAAGACCCAGCTGTTTGGATCCACTTTGCTGCTCTTTTCTTTTTCTTTTTTTTTTTTTTTTCCATTTTCGTTAAGTATTTTTTCTTCCTTGAGGATGGTTTCCATCTTGGGGCATTTTTCCTCGCTGTCTACCTTCCACACGTTATTAGTTCCATCACTTTTGTTTTTTTTATTCTTCTTCATGTCCGTCGTTGCAGTTGGTTTGGAGGCAACGTGGTCCTTCTCTTCTTCCCCTTCCTTACCAATGCTGCTCTTCTCCGTGTTCATCCCTGCGGGGGTGGCCGCGGCCTTTTCTTTTGTTCGTTCCTTTTTACCACCATCTGGGGAGGCAACCCCCATTTGCTGCTTCCTGCCCGACCCGTCATTCCTTTCCTGCGCTTCGCTACCTCCATCCCCTGCTGTCTTCCCTGCACCATTTACATTGCTGTTCCTTGTATCGCCCCCCTCATCTTCATTTTTCAATTTGTTTTTTTTTAAGGTGGCGTTTGTTACGTAGCATTCCCCATCTTGCTGTGCCATCCCCTTCTTTACCGATTTGCCTACTACACCTTGTGCTTTTTTAAATAATGCCCCTTCCTCCTTCTTATCTTCTTCGTACACTTGTTCTAAATCATCCTCGAACGCTTCCCCCTCTTCCTCCTCCTCCTCATCATCATCTTCCTCCTCGTCGTCCTCCATATCCAATTCTGCATCTTCCTCATCGTCCTCTTCTATATCCTCTTCATCACCAACATCGAGGTAATCTCCTTCTTCCTCTTCCTCTTCTTCATATTCCCTCTCCTCGCCATGGAATCCATCACCAGGGCTGCTCACTCGTTGTGCGTACTTGGCAAGGTTATTTTTTCCCTCGGTATTTTTATTTATGCTAGGGAAAGTTAGGACTGATTGTTTGGTGGCGGTGTTGTACGTGGCATGTCCAGGAGGGTAGTTTCCTTCCCCCATCTGTCCCTTCAAGTTGGAAGTTTTTACTTTACTCTCTTTGGTGACATTCCCCTGTGTAGATGCTAAAACGGGTTCTACATCTGCTTTCTTCACAGCTCCTTTTTTCAATCCATTTATTGTTTTATTGCATGGGTCCTGTTTTAAACGGCTACTACTCTTTGTTGTGGCAGCACCAGATGTACAAGCGACAACTGCTTCTCCACCTTTGAGGATGCCTGTCTTGCCCCCAAGGGTAGCATTCAGCTTGCTCACTTTATATTTCTTTTTTGTACCATCTTCCTTTCCTTTCATATCAAACACATGACCCTCCCCCCCTGTGATGGCCTTGTCCCTTTCTTTTAATTCAGGAGTGTCTTCCACATGCTGATTCACAATGTCCAGGTAGTAGTAATGAATAAAATCAACGTCGACGTAGTACTGGCACACGGTGTGCTTATGCAAATGTATATTTTGTACAAAGTAATAAAAAAGATTGGTGTTTTTATTTTTTTTTATTCTTCCATGTATGTATAAATAAATTTCTTCGTGTACATTGATCACCTCGATGGAGTTTATATGAACTGTGCATTCACTAATACCTAACTTATTATAATAATCTGCTATCATTTGTTTGCCTTTTATTTTAAGCATATTTCCACTTCGCTCGCTTCCTTCTACGTGGATTTGGCTGAGGTTGAAAAATTTGTCCATGTCGCTCTGTTGGTTTTCGTTACTAGTTGGATGTAGGCCCCCGCCCGGTCCTCCTCCGATGCTGCTTGCCGTGCTGCCTGCCGCGCCGCCATCCACCCTAGTTTGATAATTGAAGCTCAACAGCAGGACCGCATTCTGCGCGTAAAAATTGTGCATCATGGCCTTCTTCGTGTGCAGGACGTAGTAGTACTGATATATGAACATGCACGCGATGTTGTAGGCGCTGCCTGTCATGGGGTCCATACTTTTGTTATTAATTCCGGTTAGGTGGTTGCTTGGAGTGGACACATGGGGTCTGTTCATGGTTTCCACATTGGTGTTTCTGTCATGCGGGTTGCTTGCCCTCGCGGCAGCTGCATTCACATTCACGTTCGCGCTCGCGTTACCCATAGTGGACCCATCCATGGGTGTGTTTACCCCCTTGCGTGCATCACTGTTTGTAAAAGTTACAACCTCCTTTGCATTGGCGTACGCATCTACATGGTTACTGCTTCCCCTGGTGGTACCAACATTGTGTGAGTTTTTACGAAGGGACAAATCTTCTGCTTCCTCTTCTGCTTCCTCTTCCTCCTCGTCCACTTCATCATCCTCTTCATCATCATCGTCGTCCCCCTCCTCCTCCTCCTCCTCCTCATCTTCTTCTTCCTCGTATTCTTCTTCCGCCTGCACATGGTCCTCCTTCTTTACCATTTTCATTTTCATGTTCATGTTATTCACATCCTCATTGTTGTTGTTGTTCCTGTCCCCGTTAATCATTATTAGCATGGGTTCTTTCTTTTGGCTACCCAGAAGGGATGGGTCTTGCGGGGCGTTTTTTCCCCTTTGGGGTTCTCTTCTCAACTGCTCGTTCGCGCCGTAGGGGTCCTGTCCCCCGGCGTCCCTGCTCGCACTGTGCGTTGTCGCTGCGTGGGTCGCGTCGTGCTGGTAACCACCCACATTGGAATCAAAATAATTTACCTTCTTCTGCCCCGACATGGTCATGCAGGACGTTGCATCTGCCACATCGTAGTACCGGTTCACATTTTTGGGGCCACCAATGTTGATGTAATTTTCTCTGGTGCCTTCATAATTGTAATTCTTATACGTCCTGTTACTACTCTGTGTGGTTCCTTCACCATGTGTATTGTTGCTTGTTCCATCGTGCATGCAGCTGAGGTAGGAGTCATAGTTGTTCTGTCTTCCTTCCTTCTTCGCGTGAACATTATATGTATTTTTGTTATTGTAAAATTTTCCTTGGTGAGCGTTTGCCTGATTTCCTGCCCCATTGTTAATACTTCCACTGGTGCTGTTTCCGTGAGAGGCATCCACATGGTATGCGTTCATGGTTGTAGTGGTCCCGGTTGTACTTCCATTCAGCAACTTTGGCTTTTCATAATTATATATATCCTCATTGTAGCTCATCATGGTACTTGTGTTTTTCGCATCTGTTCCACTTACACTATTTGCAGGGACCATGCCCGCTCCACTAAAGTTACTTCTTCTCTTGTAATACATATTAGAGTTATTGTTAAGGCTACTTGGGTTGTTCGTGGTACTTCCCTCGAAGACGCTACACACGTTATCGCTTACTTGTTGGGGACCCTGGTTGGTATTCTGTTGAACACCTCCTTGAGGGTTCACAGAACCGCTCCCTTGCCCAAGACACTGCTTAGCACTAGAGTATTTGTTTTTGAAGAAGAAAAAGGAAAACTTATTTTTGCTCTTATTATGCTGCTTCGCGTCCATGCTTCTAGAATTCATTTTTTTTTTTTTTTTTTAAATTGGAGTCAAAAGGGGGAATGGGACAAAGATTGGCCTGGTGAGAAGGTTTTAACCAGGACTACGTGGCAAGTGTACGGGGGGGAAAAATGTATTTGTATATATATATGTGCGTGTATGAACTGCTGACCCCACAAGGCGAATAACAACGAGTGGGTGTGTTTCCTCCGAAGGGACGAGCAGTCTCCTTACTTCATTTCTCTCCTCCACCTCGGCGCGAAAGGGGCGTCCAACGGGGAGGTCAAAACGAAGGGAGGGGTAAATAGGGGAGTGTTAACTGGGAGTGATAAAAGCCGAGCGAGGCCGTATGACGACTGCCGTGTGGAGATTACTCTCGTATGAACATTCCCTCATACAAATATTTGTACTCCGCGCACGGTGTCACTGTGGGGCTGGCTTTTTTTTTTTTTTTTTTTTTTTTTTCCCTAGCTTGCGCTACATATAATAATTTGGCAGAAACAGCAATTCGCGGAAGGTATACTTCTGCGATTGCGTTCGTGATGATCGTGGTGGGATAGTCGTGGCGATAGTCGCGACGATTGCTTTTACTATTGTTTTGCCTCTGATTTTATATTCCTTTTTTTTTTTTGTTGTTCTTATTTTTGCTCTTATTTATGCTCTTGTTTTTGGCTTATGTTTTTTTTTGGTTTCCTTTTTTTGGGTTTTTTTTTTTTTTTTTTTTTTTTCCACTTCCTCTCTTTTAAACGTTGTCGAGCGTAATAAAAAAAACGAGTGCAGTTTTTGCTTGACGCAAATTGGTGAAGGGGAAGCCTTGGAAGGCGGCTGGGGGTTTCGAAAAAAAATGGGGCACTATAAAAATAATTTCCTTTGGCTGGAACGAGTTTCACTTGGTGGCGATTGATGGCCCACCGTTGGGGTCATGACAAAATGAGGGAACAAGGGAATGGGATAGGGGGGGGGTGGCATGCATATATATATGTGCGCAATATATAAACACTGCGGTATGAACTGATCGCCGCGATTTTTTTTTTTTAAAGAAAATTGCACAGCGGGATATGGGGGCAAGGAGGGGTGAAGGGGAAAAAAAAAGGGGGGGGCTTTTTCCCTTTCGCCGGTAATGGTTTAAAATGTGGCCGTCGTGGATCTTATGGCTTTTTTTTTTTTTTTTTTTTCCTTTCCCCTACAAACCTGTGGTGGCGGCATTTGACTCCATTTGGCTTGTGGTCACACGTGACACCATCTCGCCGCTGCACATTGGCTTTACGCCAAAAAAAAAAAAAAAAAAAGGGAAGGCAAGGGAAAGAATAGCACCATCTCCCTCGACGAAACGTCATACACAGGAAAAAGAAATATATATATGAATATGTGTACGCATCACATGGGCACATGTTTCTTTTTTCTTTTTTTTTTTTTTTTCATTTTGTGAAGCATGTGATGGCTCGTCGCCCCTGCCAAAGTTGCCCCACGAAAAGGTCCAACTGTGCCCATACGCGTCCCCTACACGCACCTGGTACAAATTTTATGCGTATCCCTTCGTAAGTCCCTCCCCACTGAACACATTTTACATTTTTCCCCACCTCGTGTCAACACTTCATTATTGGAGGGATATGTAGAGGGGGGCTGCAGTGACGCCGGTCTGTCCTTTTTTGCGCCACCTCAAATAATTGGTCAGGTCAATATGGAATGAAATAAAAGGCGTATCTGTCCCTTTAGATGGGACAAGAAAGGAAAATAAAAAAAAAAAAAAAACATTCAAACCGCGTAAACGAAACGTCCCCACTAGTGCGTATTCCCGTACGACATGTGAAGAATTACAAAAAGAGCATTCGAGTTGTATCCTCACACCTTAGTGAAAAGAACGAATCAGGGGGGAATTCATTTATGCACACGTAGGGACCCAAGCAAGGTGACCCACGCAACGGGGGAAAGGCTATCCTTTTTGAACAATCCCTCATGGGTACTCTTGCGGTGGGGGGAAAGACGTACAACATTACATATATGTACATATGGACCTATTTAATCTGTCACATTATATGTTTAAGGGTGTACACGGAAAAGGGGAAGAAAAAAAAAATAATAATAATACGATAGGAGACAACCATGTGCCAAAAAGGTTATACATTCCTCCGTTCTGTTTTTTATACCTTTGCATTTATCACTTGGAGTAAGTGAAAAGTCCCTTCTTCGTTCCCTCCCATGCGTGACGCTTCGAAACAGCTGGCGTTGAGACTCTGTTTGGGGGAGCAACACCCCTGTTCAATTCATCCCCTTCTCAAGGCGCCATTTCCCATGGAGCGTGGTTCAGGGTTTAGGGTGACGAGAGCCCCACTACATGGGTGTTAACAACTGCTTCCGGGGGAGGAAGTGCAAAATGGAAGGGAAAAATTGAGCCATGGTGTAAGGACGAGTTGCCTAACGACCCGTTGTTGACTTTCCACCGTCACGGTACCATCACGTTTCCACCCCTACGGTGTACATTTTGCAGCACCGGCAAAATTTCTTGCCCCCCTGAAATTATTGCCCACTTGTTCGCAGTATGCGATGGGCCGTTTTTTAAAAAAAAAAAAAAAAAAAAAAAAAAAAAAAAAAGGATGCATGCGAAGAGGAGAACAGGATGCCATTTGATGGCGCGTCGTTTTCGCAGCAAAGGTCGCGTCGGGACGTTGAACAATTATTTTATATCTCCTTGTTTATTTACCCCTTTTTTATATATATATGTCCCTCCGGCCTGATTGGGCCGCATTTGCAGTTTCATCCCCCGTTCACTGCGCATGTTTTTGTGATAGGACGTGGCAATGCGTGTTGATGTTAAATTGAAGAGACCCACGCGGCGCGAATAGGCCAGCTGTATTACTACTACTACTGCTGCTACTACTACCACTACTACCCCGTGGCTGCCAGCACAGGATGGACCTCTTCCGGGAGGAGCGCGTGGAGGTGGAGTTGAACGCAGACGTCAGTTACGCGTGCGCCCTGAATGACAGGCTGTATTTTGGGACGACCGATGGGCGAGTGCTGAAATGGCGCATCGAGAAGGAGCCAACAGGAGCAGCAGCAGTAGCAGCCTCTGTTAGTGCAGCCGCTGTTAGTGCAGCCGCCGCTGGAGGAGGGAGAACCCCCCCCAAGATGCAAGTCCTGTTGGAGGAAAGCCACACAGTGAAAAAGAACCAACAGGTAGAAAAAATAATCCTGGTGGAAAAGGAATCCCTGATCATAATACAAATAAACGATGGAGTTTATTTTGCTAAAGATTCACAAATACAGAATTTAACTCTCCTTTGTAAGGACGCGAACATATGTACGTTGAATGAGAAGAACAAAAAGGACTTATTGGTGTACAGCATGAAAAAAAAAAAATTAATTTTTTTCCACTTGGACAATGGAAGATATAAAAATGCAAAAGAACAATCCTTTAATGAATTTATAACATCATTCCTGTGGATCAGTGACTCTCTTTTCCTGACCATTCAAAAGAGTTACTACCTGTTACGATTAACCAAAAATGAAAAAATTAATTTATACAGTCATGAGTATGAACAAACATATAAATATATAACCCTAATTAACGGAAATGAAATTTTTATTGTGTGTGACCTGAACGTTGGAGTTTTTTACGACATACACACATCCATGCCTTCTAGGAAGAATACAATTACGTTAGTAGATAATGTGAGACAGCTTATCTCCTTTCGTTTTTTCCTCTGCTCTTTGAACTCCAAGGGGGTGGTGAACTTTTATAACGTTAATAATCAGCAACATGTGCAGACCATCTGCATGGAGGAGTACGTGGATGTTGTAGTGAACTATAGCGATGTGTGTAGTTCCTTTTTATGTTCCATGTTGCTGCTGGAGCAGGAGGAAGGGCGTGATGGGCAGGGGGAGTACTACTACCCTGGAGAAGACCCCAACGAAAGAGCTACTTATCACCTCGACTTGGATGCAACCCTCACAAATGGAAACCATAATCAGCGCCAGCAACTTCGTCAACACTATTATCTTCGCCACCCCAATCATCACCGTGACTCTTCCCCTAACACATATTATCCCCCTGCTGTCAGGGGGGGAGAAGAAGAAAACTTTCCCTTGGACTCAACCAAACTGATGAATCAAACAGGAGACCCCAGTGGTGCACCCAACAACTACATATACTTCTTCAACAAAAGCTCCATTCATGTGATGAGATGTCAGGAGTTATTTGAATACCTCCCCAAGTGTATTCAACAGAATAGAATTGACAAAGGGTTTGTGTTGATTAATAATTATTTATTTGAATGTGATACAGACAGGGTTAGCACCCTCAATGAATATACTAAAGCGTGTGCATATTACCTTTTTTCTAGAGCCCAATTTGCTCTAGCGTTTGTGCATTTCGAACGGGTCCATATTAATCTGCCTTTCCTGTTGTCCTTCTGGGAGAGGTACCTCTCGAGGAAGGGAGAGGCAACTGAAGGGGGTGGCAAGGGGGCTGCAACCCCCAAGTGTCAACCACAAGAAGGGATCAGTAAACCTTTTCACTTTTGCCTGCCTCACTTATGTAGTGTGGAAGAAATAATCGACCATAATTTATCGTCGCAGAGGAGGAGTAATGATGGAGGAGATGTGGATGACTCCTCCAACGGTCCAACTATCATTGGCGACACCCCAGAGCAACAGGAAGAAGATAAAAAAAAACTTCTTAGAGTAGCAAATAATTGTTTAATAAAATACTTGGTGATGAAAAGAAACGAACTCGTTCTGCAAGGTGAGGGAATGATGGGTATGTACGAAGAGGAGCACACCGTCACAGAGGGGAGTGCACAGGTGAAGGGGAATAACCTACTTGGGTCGGTAGACAATTTATTAATCAAACTGATGGTAATAAACGAATGGCCTGGATTCTCTCACTTCCTCATGAACACGAATAACTTGCACCTGGACGTGGAGGAATGCATCTCTTTTTTAAAGAAGCACTCCAAGTTCGTAGAAACAGTGCTGATGTACATACGAATGAAGCACTTTGAAGAGGCCATACAAATGTGCGCCACGTTTCTTTACGTATACAATGGGTGGCTCCGCGTTGGGGAAAACGAACAAACGGATGACCCCCCTGCGAGCAATGCAAAAAAGGTAGAGCAGATGGATCAAGGATGGATAGACTTTTTCACCAAGTATAAATTTACAAAAAATGTGGATAAAGGAACAGCCTTGCACTCACTGTTAAAAGAAATGTACAACATACTCATTGTCCTGAACGACAGCTTACATATGATGGATATAAAAAAAAGTCAAATAAAAAATCTGTTTGAAAATGCCTTTCCCTTTCTTATAAGATTTAACGAAAGCGCATTTTTTGACTTTATTGTTTCCAGAAACTTTCTTTTAAAACCGGAGGAAATTCTTAACATGTTCAAAAAAATGGAAAATGAAAAATTACACATAAAAGGAAAACAATACATGCAGAAATATATCACTACTTTTTTAAAACATGATAAAATGAACAAAGAGGTGAACACTTGTTTGGTGGAGTTTTACCTGAACGATGTGGAAATGCCTGAACAAGTCAGGCAAAAAAAGATTTTGCGATTTTTACGATGTAGCTATCCCTTGGATGTCGCGCGCTTGGCTCGGATGGTACCTTGTGGGCAGTTTCCGCTCGTGCAGGCGTTGCTCTTTGGCCGGATGGACCACCACTAGTAAGTTGTTGAGCGGTGATGTAGAAGTTTTTCCCCCGTCACACCGCCTCCACGCTGTGTCTGCACACCGCCGCCACACCTCCACCACAACTGTGCATAACTTTCCATCTGTCCCTGTTGCCCTCCGCAGCGATAGTTTAGTCATCCTAACCCAGGAGAACCTGTGCATATGCGAAAAGTACTGCCTGTACCACAGTCTGCTGTTCAAGGATGCCGCGAAGAGGATGGGCAAAGAGGACCAAGACAAGCTTTTTGCAAGTCTGTTCCATAACGAGAAGGAGGTCTATCAAGGTTTATATGAACAGATGCGGAAGGGATTAGAGGAGGAGGGGGAAGAGGGAGGATCGAATGATACGTACGAGGAGGAGAGGAAGAAGCGGATCCACGCAAACAGAGGCAACCACGCGAGAACAACGAGGAAGAAAAAACTCAATGATGCATTCATTAGTGATGTCATAAGAAATTATCACAAGGAGGTCTACATCGGTATGGACAAAGGGATACTAGCCAAGTTGGAGAATCAACGGAGAATAAGAAAAAACAGAAGCAGTCAGTTAGACAGCGAGAATGACGAAGGGACTTCGAATGAAAAAAACGAGTATCACTTCATGTTGAGTCTGATGGAAGAACAAGAAAGGGAAGACTCCAGTGATGATCATTTAACCGAGATGTATTATGAGGATGGGGACGCAAGTTTCATGAAGGATGTTGAGGGAAGCCAAAAATGTTCTGAAGATTCATGGAGTGATGAAAGCACTGAGTTTGGTGTGAGCACCGACTCAGACGGGAAAACCACCTCCGATGGAAAAACCTCCTCTAGTGTTGATGATGACGTGATGGAAGGAAAACAGAAAGGGAAGAAGAATTGCGGAGTGACTCCAAGTGGGAAGCACGCACATAAAAAAAAAGGAGGCAATAATAACAAGAAGAGTCAAATGGGGATAGAAGAGGAAGAGGAAGAGGAAGAAAAAAAAAAAAAAAAAAAAAAAAAAAAAAAAAAAAAAGACCAATTTAGCAATAGCAAACACAGAAATGTGGATGTAGATGTGTTGAACTACTTCGATTTGTATAGAAGCGGAAAGAACCGATCCTGTGGTTTCTTCTTCCTCCTTGTGAAGGTTTGCATGGACAAATACCTTGACCCAAACACTGATGAGAAGAACAAGCAAACGTATAAGAAATACGTCACGTATATACTGAACAAGTATAGCCACCACGGCGATTTCGAAAACGCATATATTTTTGAAATGATTCCGGACGAGTGGGCCTTGTCGGAGGTCCTTCACTTTGTCAGTTTAAACTTAAAAAAGAAAAACAACCGATACATGGACCTGCACCATTACCATAACTTGGTCAAGGCGAACTACTTGAGTGCGTCGTACCAGATGATTGACGACAAGGAACAGCGGCTCCTCGTCAAGGACAAAATGTAAGCCAGCGGCTACACTGCATATATGTGTGTGTGCATATATATATGTGTGTATGTATACGTGCCGCACGCGATTATTTTGTAGCACATTATTTTTCCCCCATTTTGTCTTCATCCCCTTTGCAGAATCTGCCAGGTGTGTAAAGGCCCCATCGCGGAAAAACGTTTCGCGTACTTCTCAGCCAAAGTGGTCACCCACATTCAGTGCATGGAGAAGTACGACGAGGAAGTCCACCGGTGAGGCAGTCCCTCCTCGTCCTCACTGCGGGAGAGAGAAGTGCACGTCACGCAAACTTCGCCGAAGGGTAACGTAATGATAAGAGAGGTGCACTTAAAAGAAGCGTAGGTTTGTACCCTGCACAAACGGTAGCAGGTTGCAATCGATGCATTTTTTTTTTTTTTTTTTTTTTTTTTTTTT